AATGGGGGCCCAGACTTTCTGTTGCTAAGCAAAGCCATTGTTAAGTGAGCCGCACCTGATTTTTATAAGTAAGAACCATTAAAAGAGGAATGGAAAAATCCCTATCTGTAGATCAGTGTTTTTCAGTCTTGGCAAGTTTAAGATGGGCGAACTTCATGCTGCCTTGGGAATTCTGGGAACTGAAGTCCATGCACCTTAAAGTTGCCAAAGTTGAGAAGCATGGGTCTACACTAGAGCTTAGGATTTTCCATTTCTGTTTTATGTAGAGTTTGGTGTAATTAAATAAATCAGTTGTGGTTTCCTTAACAAATAGTGATTTAAAGCGATATGAACCATTACTGGAGTTTTTGTGCAAAACTGAAATTAAAAGTTGATCTGGGCTTTGATGATTAGATATGGGATTATGGAAATAATGTAGACAAATGTTAATCTTAGAGTAAGAGTTTGATATGTATCAAAGAAAGTTGGAAGTCATTCTTTTTCAGTTTTCCTTCTTTTCCTCTTTCTTCTTACACTTTCACTTTTTCTTTCCTGAGTCTTTTCTTTTTTCAAATCTGTTTTTTTTTATTTATCCCTTAGCTTTGTATTTTTTTGATGCATGAATGATCAAATACTCAGCCATTATAATTCTACATTCCTTATTTACACAAATCACATCAAAATTTAGAAGGAAATCCACTGAGAGCCATCTCATATAAGCAGGGGTGAGATTCTACCGGTTCTGTCCACTTCTGTAGAACCGGTTGCTATGAAAAGCAGCAAACAGAGAGCAGACATAGAACCGGTTCTATTTCTGCTGCTGTTTTGGCCCATCCGCCCACCCGGGCTCTTACTTGACCTTTATTTCCTGCATTTTCAATTGCAGCTGCTTTGCGCAACACAGCTGCGGTTGAAAAAGCAGGAAAAAAGGGCTTTTCCAACCGCTGCACACTTGCACGCAGCGCTGCTCAGCTGTTCTGGCAGCTCAGCAGGTCGTAAATTGCACTCGCACAACTCACGCAACAGAGAGCAACAAAACCAGTAGTTATACTGGTTGGATCCCATCCCTGCACATAAGGCAGTCCCTCTAACCCAAAAAATGTTTATCGATAGAAGAGAATATTTGTAGCTCAGAGTTGAACTGTGGGATCCTTGGTGCTTTCTGACCTTGATGGTTTTCTTGCAGATATTTCATTACCAAATTAGGTAACATCATCAGTACTAGAAGGGAGTGGAGTTTGCTCTTATTTTCATATACTAGTGGCTTACCCTGTCAGTGTTGATCAGTTGCTTCACAAACAGTGTTTTGATTGGTGCCAGATCTCTACAGCCTCAGGCAGAGAAGGGCTATTCTGCACCCCTCCCTCAAATGTTCTTTAAAATACAGAGTTTTCCAGCATTCCTTTAGGAACCTCCAACATGCAAACTGTGGTTACTCATCCTAAAATGAATCCTCTTTACCTGGAGCTTCAAAATTTGCTGTTTGCTGGGAAGGTGTGTAAGTTAAAAGTCAATCTACCTTTAGTGTGCATCTGACTTTGGGGATATTTCTTCATAACCAAATGTGCAGTTCACACCTCTTGCTTGCAGGATCTGGATGTCATAAAGCAAAGCCCACATTTTGTAATTAACCCCTGCACCACATTTTGACTGGTAGAGTGCTGCAGGAGGCTGAGTGCTGTCATGCCCCCTGACCACAACCACCCAACCGGTCATTAGGGCAGAAAACCAGTTGTTAAATTATTTGAATCCCACCACTGAACAAAGGCTATGCCATCTGATGTTTCCTCAGGTTTTTGTGGTCCAAATGCACTAGCCCTAGTAAGCCTCTTCTTTGTTTCCACTTACATCCTTTAGTTGCTTTTTCTTCTGAATGTAGCAGCCACAATTTTGGGATTCCTTCAGGGAATAACATCTGAATGCAATCAGCCATTTCTCTTCGGATGGACGGATGGCTGTTCCATTTGTGTATTGCTGACTAGAGAATTTACAGATGAAATGGGTGAATTTTGGTTTGGAAGGACAATTCTGGATATATTTTTAATGAGAACTTTGATGCTACAATGTTCAATAATTTGGTTTTTCTTTAAATATAAAAAAGAACACATTTCTTAGTATCAAAGACCTGTGAAGTCTTTATTCCCTGCATTGGTAAGACTACACCTGGAACACTGTATATGATTCTGGGCACCACATTTTCACAAAAACATTGATGGGATTGAGCAGGGTGAGAAGGCAACGAAGATGATACCAGCGCTTGAGGACATGCCATATGAGGACAAGCTGAAAGAGCATGTTCAGTCTGAAAAAAAGAAAAGGTAGAAGGGATGTGATACAGAATCAGTGTTCAGGTACATATAAAGGCACCATGGAGAAGATGGCTAGGAATGATTTTCCACTGCCATAGAAACACACACCAGAAATAATGGGCATTAGGCTTTATCTAAGTAGATTTTGTTTAAAAAGCCATATACACACAACACAGGCAAAAACAAACAACAAAAAAACCCATATACACACAACCAGACAAAGTAAAATCTATTTCACAGTGCAATTTTCTACTTACAGAACATGGAGGTTTTTTTTAAAAAAAGGCTGAACAGTCACTCTTTGAACATTGTTGAATTGTTTGTTCTGCACACTGAAGAGAGTTGAACTAAATAATCCTTGTGATCCTTTCCCACTTCGCATTTCCATCGTCACTAGCAATTGGAAGGCAGTAATTTTCCCCAGTTCCTTTCTTTGTTGTTGTTGTTAGTTGCGAAGTCGTGTCCGACCCATTGTAACCCCATGGACAACGTTCCTCCAGGCCTTCCGGTCAGAGGTTGTATTCAGCAAGTTCTGACCAGTTCTGGAGAACTGGTAGCGGAAATTTTGAGTAGTTCAGAGAACCGGCAAATACCACTTCTGACTGGCCCCGCCCCCATCTATTCTCTGCCTCCCGAGTCCCAGCTAATCAGCTGGGTCTTCTTTTGTTGCCCTGCACAGGTGAAGGGAGCTGGAAAGAAGGTTAGTGAGGAGGGAATGGGGATTTTGCAGTAATTTCCCCCCAGGAATGGGAAGGAAGTGGAGATTTTGCAGTATCCTTCCCCTGCCATGCCCACCAAGCCACACCACCAAGCCACACCATGCCCGCTAAGCCATACCCATAGAATCGGTAGTAAAAATGTTTGAATCCCATCACTGCTTCCTGTCCTCTACCATTTTCTGGAGTCCATTTAAGCTCCGCCTACTGCTTCAGTGACTCCATCCTTTAGCAATCCCAGTTATTGATGATACTGGATATCTTTAGCTAAGTTAGAAAATTAGTTTTCATTTTCACTTATTTAACATTATCAGCTTTCTTCAGGGGAAATGGAGGAAAATTCATTCGATCTGGGTTTATCCTCTTCACATCCCCTGCCCTTTTATGTAGTGTGAAGCATGTACTGACATCTTTGAGACCCAGAATTTGACTTGCCATTAAAGGAAAACTTATAAATGTATCTTGGAGCTTACACATATGTGAGAAAAGCGTACTCCATCATTAGCTTTATTAGAGAAAAGCACCAATACACTTAACATGAAGAAAATGTATCTAAATTGAAGTTTATTAGGAGGCATATGTACAACTTGGCAAAGTACCTTGAAAAGGATAGGTGAGAACATGGTGAAGATTGAAATGGACAAAGTTTGTCTGTCCCACACACTAAACAATCTGTTCAGGGCCAATTGAGATAATTGTTTCTAAAGTGATGTGCTGATTTCAAATGAAGATCTGAATACAACAAAGACCTCTTGTTGCATGGGCAAGGATGCCTGCTAAAATCCTAGTATTGTTATTTTTTTAAATTAAACAAGATCACTATAACTAATACATGCTAAAATATTCTGTTGGCTTACAGCATCTACTTCTTGATTTATCCCTGCAGGCACCAGTTTTCACAACCAAGGTTGGAACAGGGTAAATAAACATAGATTAAGTGGCTTCTGAGCAGGTTCAGAGTGTATTTCCTTCATAATTATTACAGAGAATTCTAGATAGTTCAGTGATTAGATTGAGAAACAATTACAAAACATGGGTAAAGTTTCTAGGTTAATGTCAGCCTTTGGTTGGTTTGTGTGTTCAAAGAATCCTGGGATCTGAACAGTCACTTCACCATTACCAAAGTGGCTCCAACCAACATATCTAAGTACAATGTACTTTGCTATGCTATGTTATGCTCTGCTCTGCTAGTTGACTGGGCTTTTTTGTGTATGTAGCTACATTCCAGCAGGATATTTGGGATTCCAAAGTACATGATTTCCTTCTCCTTCAATTTTTTTTTGCCCATGATTTTTTAGGAAGATAAAGGCTTTTTGCATACATAAAATTTTTTTGTATTACAGGATACATCATTCCATTTTCCAGACTTAAAGAGCTCGGCGCAGTCTTCATTACTGCTGTGATCATTGGGTTCACCTTCTTGCCAATTCCTAAATAAGCAAGAGAGTCAAATTAGTCTGAGAGAAATTCAGAATGAGATGTCTTTCCTTTTCACTCATATCATCTTCTGCCTGCCAAGTATAACCTAACGCAGAAAGTCTGTACTTTTCCAGTGGTGGCTTTGGGTCAATCGTGTATATCCTACTGTTTTCCAGTATGAAACTTCAGGAAGCATATCTAGGCCTTCAAAACTTAGCTGGAGATCTGCCAGATTGGGAAGGTTTAATATTAACACAATATCTATCTGTACACCAGGCCCTGCATCTTATATCATTGTCTTCTCATCTATGGAGAAGGCTGTTTCCTCACATGACTCTTAGAAGCTATACAAGGACATGGAATTAGTGCTCTTCTGGATTTACAAATGCCAACAGTACTAGCCATCATAATTAATATTGAGGTATATTAGAAATTATAATTCAGCAACATCTGGAAGCTATTACCTAAAGTCCTTTTCACATGTAATTCCACCCTTGGTTTCTTCTTGGGGATTAAATGCAAATTACCTCATTAAAATGATTTGGGGTAGGCACTGTCTATCACATTTGCCATCTTCATAACTTCCTTCATTCTACTTCTTACTCGTGAATAAGTGTATCCCTAATGGTTGACATTATGGACTTCTTGTCAATGTCCAAGGCTCAGTAGAAGTCCACTGCCAGCTAGCTGAGTCTCCATATTCCCCTTGTTAACACTGCTTGTTCATCTTAGGTGAGCTAGCAGTGAAAGGGAAGATGGTTGACAAAAATATGTGCAATGAATGAGCAGCAAGAATAGTAGTGATGAATGAGTAGGTGAATTCCAGATTTTGTAGGATTTTTAGAATGCCTCTGTGCTTATTGAGCTCCAAACTGAATATCTTCTTGAAAGACGAGAACAAGGCAAGTAAAAGAATCTTCATTATGTTCTTTACTCTAGTTCAGGGCTGTCAAACTCCCAGCCTGTGGGCTGGATGCGTCATGCCCTGGCCAAGCCCATGCTCGGTTTAGCGAAGGGGAAAAAAAAACCCCGATACGTCATGTGATGCCGCCGTGATGACGTGAGTTTTACACCTCTGCTCTAGTTAGAAGGAATAACTGAAAACAGAGGAGAACTAGCAGCTATGGTTGCTTCTTGTGATCAACTGGGTCAAGTAATCCTCTTTACCAGTGAGGCCATCTTATAGGAGAAACATTTGGTATTTAAAGCCATTGTTAGATGACCAGCTTTTTCATCTCACTATCTTTTCAAGCCCAATACATTGGAGTTGCTTTGGCTATTTTCAGACATTACTAGGGATCTATAAGCATGGACTTGCAAGTCTCTAGAATGCCCATGGAACTTCCACCCACTCAGTATTTGCCCTTCCTAACTACTCTCCATTGCCAACTAAACACTTACTGGTAGCATGCTGGCAATTCTGTATGTTATCTCCTTTATCTTATGCCAAGCACTGCTCTGATATGGTCTCAGGAAAACAGCAAGATAGCCAAGAGCACCGGCTGCTTAAATTGCTCATAACTGCAAGTATTCAGTTATGAAGTCACGTGACTAACAGGCATATCTTGCATGAGTATATATGGATGTTGCCTTCATTTGGAAAATCTCATTGAACTGCCACTTCAAGTAGATCAACTATACATTGTTTTAAAGGGTGATTGTGTTTTTTCCCAATGGTTTCCTAATGTATTACTGATTGAAAATATGCTTAAAAAAATAAATGCTTGGATACTTGCTCCTTCCAGCTATTTGTCAATACTGTATTGGTCAATATTGTATTTGAAAGTCACCGAATTACCATAAGTAACAGTCAGATATTTTATAGGGATATCTTATGGAAAATTCTGTGCAGGTAAAGGCTAAGAAGAAATACTTAAGATACCAACGCAGTGCTATATTAGTCTTTTCTCCCAAGCATCATGGAAGTTGAGGCTTTGTGGCATAGTTCGTGCCTGTTAATTTAGGGCAGTGTTTCTCAACCTTAACCACTTTAAGATCTGTGGATTTCAACTCCCAGAATTCCCAGTCCAGCATTCTGGGTAAGGAATTCTAGGAGTTCCAGCATTTTGGCTGGGGAATTCTGGGAATTGAAATCCCTACATCTTAAAGTGATCAAGTTTGAGAAATACTTTTAAGATGAAAGGAGCTACATACAACTTGTGTTTCTGCTTTTTCAGAATGGAAAATTCAGGAAATTCGTTAAGACACCTGTCTAATAGTACGGTAGGATATGAAAAGTGCACCGCATAGGCTTGTCTTACTTGAAGCTGGTTCTGTAGTCTGTGCCATCGACCCATCTCCATTGCCCTTCAGCATTGTGATCACTGAGTCCAATCCAGTTGCGCTCATTCCTGGTTTGAGACTGGAGGAAATTCTAGGGTGCCAAAAGTTGGGGAAGGGAGAAGGAATCAAAGTTATAACAGCAGCAGCAGCAGTAACAACAACAACAACAGTGTTCCCAAATACTTAAGTTGAATTCATCTGGAAGCACTCTTTTATCTGTATTCGTAGTAATTAACTACAATCCTATTTTACAAGACCTTCCTGTAGTACTTATTCCAAAAATATGTTTTGGTTAATTCAGTGACCTTGACTCTGATATGTATGTGTAAGAGACCATCCTGCTAGAGCTTTGAGTATGAAATTGATTTGCCTTATTTGTAGCATTCAATAAGATCCTTTGACAAACATCATCTTCCAATTGCAATTTTCTTGATTTTTTTTTCTGCCATCACTTCTATGTTTCTTTCCCACATAAAAAGAACATGGAAGAAACCACCCCCCTTCCTTTTTTTTTTTTTTTTTAAATGGAGGAGCCATTTCTCTGGAATATTCTAGTATAGCAGCCTTAATTATAGATGATACGCTGAAATATATTAATATACTTTGTGAAAAAAAAATGTAAGGGTCTATATCAACTAATAATCTTCTCCCATGGAGTTCTGTCACATTTTTAAACATCATGTGTCATTTACAAATGGGGATTTGTGGGTATCCACATGTTGTGAACTATAATTCACAACATCCTTCACCATGGGCCACATTGGCTGGCTTGTTGAGAATTGTATTTAGTGAGATCTGGAGGAATGAGTTCCCATTCTTGCTACTGAGGTAGCTGCCCATTGCTCTGTTGCATGAATCACAGCTTGTGGGTTACCATCACTTGAGACCTTCAATAAGAGATTGGACTGCCATTTGTCAGAAATGGTATAGGGTCTCCCGCTTGGGCAGGGGGTTGGACTAGATGACCTATAAGGCCCCTTCCAACTCTGATTATCTGTTATATTCTGTAGGCATGCTGGATTGAAAAACTAGTCTTCCAGAGCCAGAAATAGCACTAGCAATAGCACTCAGACTTATATATCGCTTCACAGTGCTTTACAGCCCTCTCTAAGTGGTTTACGGAGTCAGCCTATTGCCCCCCAAAATCTGGGTCCTCATTTTACCCACCTCAGAAGCATGGAAGGCTGAGTCAACCTTGAGCCTCGTGAGATTCGAACTGGAAATTTCTATACCAATTCTATACCAATTACTCCACAAGCCATCAAAAGCAGTTGTTTTTATTTCCACCAACTCAGAAATATTATGAGCAAGGAATTCTCTACCCCTTCTAAAAATCTGACCTCACTTCGCTCAAAGGTGAGGTCGAGTGTGGTTTCAAAATGGCATAGACTCCATATGTGCATGTATCCATTGGCTACTAAATTTTCTGTTTCTTTTAGAAGTAGCCATACACATGCTGGAAGCATTGCTTAGCTCTGAAGACCTCCTACTGAAACTGCAACTTTGTAGGAGCTTTGGATCTCATTTCCCTGCCTTCCCCAAAGAATCTTGGGAAATGTAGTTTGCAATAAACTTTCTGTCCCATGTTTGGATTAAGGCAACAGGTCAACATAGCTTTCCCTTGGGAAGTCACTTGCCCCATGTAGATATACTCCATTTCCTTTTTGGGACTAAAAGGCAAATGCTAAACGAAGAAAAGGTGGCATGGCCCACTTCTATCTTACATGTTCTCATGCTCCTTTTTTAAAGTTAAGATTACCAGGCATTTTCATTTAGTCTCAAATTATTCCCATGTCACCTATCTTAGCTTTTGATGATTCTTAGTTCTGTCAGACTTGCAATATCACTTTGTATCGGTATGGTGTTGTATGAGTGTAAATAGGTAATAGGAACATATATAGTGTATGGGCTCTCTTGTGACAGACATAAATCATAACGAGCTGATTTGGCATGTCCCAGGACTATATCCCTGACTAGAATCCGCAGCGACATTTCTTCATGGATAACCTAATATTACAGCATCCAATCAATAGTTGACAGTTTATGATCATGCTATCACTGGAAGGGGCAGGACTAAAATTTCAAGGGGTGTATATCTTTGAGGGGAAAGGTTTTGTTTGGATAGGGTTTTTTTTTTGTTGTTGTAAAGAAGACCTTCCAAATCATGCAGGTGATGTTGCTTTTTTGGTGACATGGCAAAATTCAGTGGCACAATATCTAGATCTTGCTATCTGCTCTCCAAAAAGGAAAAAAAAAAAAAACCCCACTTTTAATGAATATGCTGATGTTCCAAAATAATGATGACTACTTTGTACAGATCATCTTGCTTTGTTCAAAAATGCACCAGAAGATATATTCTACCTATGGTATGTAATGTATTCAATGTAAATCAACTCCTAGTTGCCATTCAATATAGTATGTAATGTATTCAACGTAAATCAACTCCTAGTTGCCTTTTTACCCTATGGTAAATTGTCTTTCAAAAATCAAGGAGATAAAATGGCAGTAACTTGTAACAGAGAAATAGTGAGTGGCAAAATGTTCCCTCCCAACATAGCTATGGATAGTCAGGAGTTGGTAGCAATTTTTAAACCTATACCTTCTCCCAAACAAATACCAGGCTCCTTACCTGTTCATACTGATTGGTAATGACTACCAATTTTGAATTCTTTTCTTCACAATCATTCTCTGCTGTGTGCCAAATAACTTCTTGGATGGAGAAGAAGTAACATGCACCATCAAAATATTTCCATTCTCTGCTTTTGGCTCCACATGGGTACACTGGCAAATAAAAAAAATAAAAGAACTTTTCTAACTTGTGTTGCCAGAGGTTTTGATCTAGATGTCGGCGATATTGCACTGGCATTTTGGAAGCATGTAGTTTTTCTGCCGTAGAAAAGCAGAAAACTAAGCCTGCTGTAGGATATGATCACCTGGGAATTGGAAGGCTATTTCAGCTGTGCACCAAGTACAGCGTGAGGGAATTAAGTGTTTCCCCATGGAAGAACTCAAAGGAATAAACTTAGTCGCAGTGAATTATTTAGTACATTGAAAAAAAGGAAGAGACCATGTTAGAATTTAGAAGAGAGGGAAACATAATTGCCTTAGAGATGTCTGAACCACAATTGTAATGGAAATAAATGATGGCCCTGGGTAGGGAGTTGGGTTAGAAAACCTCCAAGATCCCTTCCTTATCTAAGCAACAACTTACTGTAAAAAGCAGATTTTATGGTGGAATTTGATCCTCAAGGCAGTGACTGTGTTTTTACTCAGTGGACTCTTGTACAGAGGCTTAAAAGGCTTTCTCTATTTGCCAAGTTTTCTGCAATCACATGGTATGCAAAGAAATTACTTGTTTAAAACTGAGGTGCTAGAGTACACTCCTGCATGGAAAATTCACTGTATTGATATTTATTCTCTTAAACGGCTCCATTGTGGGCTCTGTTGGGATCTACTTTAATTAGTACCCCCCCCACACCCAACAATTAGGGCCCCTCCATCCCAGCCACTTCTTGAAAATGACTTACAGCTTTCTAGATGTTGCTGCCATTTGCTGCTTCCTGTAGGAATAGAAATGTACACAATATTACTAGTTGAGAAGCAATAAAAATACCATATTCAAAAGGGATCTTAGGCACTCCGAAAAAAATCTAGACGTGGAGTTAGCTTTGTAAGAACTTTTGAACTCTACATCATATGTCTCAAGCCTCAAAGGAAGTATCCTTCACAAATTACAGCTGCGCGCCCTCCCTCCCTCTCCCTCCCTCCCTCCCCCCCCTCCTTCTTTCTCCATGAATATATTTTTGCTTTGATAAACTCATGACTTTCAGGGCACATTCTGTAAACACCATGGTGAGGTGTCTTGCCAGCTTCTGCTGGCTGGCAGATTTTGTGAGGGGAATCACGATTGGATGCTGAATCTGAGTTGGTGTTAATTTTTCCAAAACAAAGGTAAGATTTACAACTCTGGACAGCCATTCCTCATAAGTAGACCATGGACATTGTCATTCTTATGATTGGAGCATGAGTGGAATGGCTGGAGTTGGGATTACAGTAAGCTCACATTTACAAAACAGCCTACATTAAACTTGATTGATTCTTGCATACATTTAATCACTTTTTGGGATTGAGAGATTAAGACCCTTCAGACTGCAAGTACTATATATATCAGGTGGGCTTTTGCCTCCTTAAAAGACAATGGTGTAAATATGATTTTCTTTTTACTATGTAACAAAAGGATGCTTATTATAGGGATTTTGGAAAGTTAACAATTGATTAAGGGACCAGAGGGATTTTAAATTATAATTTTCATTTAGAAGATCTTCTCTCATGTGAGAAAATGGCGACTGCTTTGGTGGGGGGGGGGGAATTCAATTTTTTTTACTACCGGTTCTGTGGGCCTGGCTTGGAAGGCGTGGCAGGGAAGAATACTGTAAAATCTCCAGTCAGAGGTGGTATTTGCCGGTTCTCCAAACTACTCAAAATTTCCACTACCGGTTTTCCAGAACTGGTCAGAACCTACTGAATACCACCTTGGGGGGGCAGGGAGCAGGCTTAATGGTAAGGAGACCTGGAAGGCTGGACAGGAATAGAGCAGAAATCCTTAGTGCACATTTTTCAATACCATTCAGCCAAGCTTTTGGACAGAATGGATCAAATGCTTGGTAAAACTAATGGAGCATGTTCTAATAAAATGGTAAAACAAGAAGGAGCTGCAATGGATGTCTATGAAATTAATTTGAAAGGAGATTTAAATATAACTCAAATGGATCTGATAGATCTCTTTGTCCTCCTTCCTTGGATCAAACTCACAGCCTCCTAAATGTAAGGCAAGAGCTCCACCTCTAGGCCACCACAACCACTCTGTATCTATAATCTATCAATCTATCAATCTATCAATCTATCAATCTATCAATCTATCAATCTATCAATCTATCAATCTATATCTATCTATCTATCTATCTATCTACCTACCTACCTACCTATTTATCATCTATCTATCTGTCTATCATCTATTGCTCTGCCGATCTATCGATCTATCTATCTATAATCTATCTATCATCTATCTATCAACATCTTATTTGCCGCAATATGGAAAAAGTAGAAATTATAGACATAGGGGCCTTGTAAGTTTGGCACAACAGTTCTAGTATTTATTTATTTGTTCAATATATGGCAACTGTTCTAGTAATTAATTATTAAATCAAACCTCAATGTATTAAATGAACTATGCAGAGGCAAATGAACTTCTCAACTCATCAGGAACTTTTCAACTTGCCTCTGGCCTTTACTTACATGCTTGGGCTTTTGCATGTGCAGATGGACTGTTTAATAAGGAGGCTAGGGATTGGATTGCATACTTAATAAAGTAGCTAAAGGGCAGAATGAGAAGAGCCATTTCCTTCTTTCAATCCATTTTGTAAAAGGATGAATTCCACAGGTGGTATTCAGCAGGTTCTGACCAGTTCTGGAGAACTGGTAGCGGAAATTTTGAGTACTTTGGAGAACCAGCAAATACCACCTCTGACTGAAGATTTTGCAGTATCCTTCCCCTGCCACGCCCACCAAGCCACGCCCACAGAACCAGTAGTAAAAAAATTTGAATCCCACCACTGATGAATTCCTTTTGATTTCACCCTTGATCAAATAAATCCATCTGCAGACTAATTCTTTGCATTCCATTTTGTTCTGGCCAGGAAAGAAAATGAATTTATAAGTCCTTTGTTTGAACACAGAATTTTGGCTTATTTCTGGCTTGTTTTTCTTCCCATTTGGGGTATTGACAGAAGAAATGAAAGCAAAACTGTAAAAAACCCTAAATCAACCTGATTATTTTACTTACCTGCATGACATTTCTCTGCTTGTTCAGCAAATCATGATTTATAACTTAATCTTAAAGACAGTGTTGGATTCTAACATACGGCAATTAGAAGTAAAGCTGACACTATTATTTTGTCCCCTGATGTACATGGCTCTATATTGCACCAAGTCAGCTGGAAATTAATGTATGTTTTGGGGGTTCAGTAACTTGCTCTGTCTAGAATACTAAGAATTTGAGAGAGTTTTAAAGCCACTTTCTACAACATTTTGTCCTGAAGCCCACACAGTATGTCAGAAATCAAAAAAGTTGATTTACCTTGGGATGCCACAAGCCCAAACAATATGATGATCAACAGGTAAGAAATGGCCAGAAGCACATAAGTCATAGAAGATGTCCATTTCCATTGTGGGATATATCTGTCTTGGGGGCGGGGGGAGAGAGAGAAAGAGGGAGAGAGGTGGGGGGGGAGAGGGGGGGAAGGGGGAGGGAGGGAGGGAGGGAGAGAGAGAGAGAGCAAGTTAGAATCTAGCATGCAAATTATTTCCAGTGTTTGTGCCTTGAAAACTCCTTATGCAATAAAACCATTGGATAGACAATGCTCTACTGTAGTGTTCTAATAATATTTCTAATGTTAGGAATGTGTGCATACCTGACTATGTGGTCTTGCTGTATTTCCCATAGTAATAAGAGCAAATAATATGGTTTTCTATATGGCAGATTGCTCTGAAACATAAATAACCTAGCAATAACAAAAGAAAACATCAGTATTTATTTTTGAGTTCTTTTTTCCTTTAGCTCTGTGCTGAGCAGTGATGCCACCCAAGTAATATTTTCTGCCTGAAAAATTTGATTCATGGGGAATTATGTTACTAATCTTAAATACAGGGCATATGTTATAATCTTATAATTTTTCTCCGGCTCAGAAAGTTAATCCAAATTAGAGTCAGGTTTATGCTCCCTGCATAAACTTTCCTTGTTTAATTAATAAAATAAGGAGGAAACATGTCAAAAATATGGATGCCATTTTTAATTACCTATTCTATGTCTAAAAAGTATTGAAATCATAGGGATAGAATAATGTAATATAAACAGAATAATTCTGTTTCACTACTGTTTATCTTTTAAATTTAAATTCACAATTTGTTAAAAATTTGTGGATATTAAAGACCTTCACAGCTGTGAGCTTAATCTGGTAGCTCATGAATTTTACCTTCTTCAGATTTAAGAAATTTTAAATTTAAAAAATTTAATTTAAAAAAAAATAATATGCAGTTGGAAAAAGGGGAGGGAAGAGGATGTTGATGTAAGAATATTTTAAACAGATTGGGAGACCAGAGAGATTTGAAAGATTGATTATATTTTTGCTGATCTGAAAAACTATACTGATGAGAAATGACTAAAAGGAAACCAGACCCATATTAGGAACTGAAGCTTGATTAAGGTTGCAACTGGATAGTACAGAGAACTAAAGGACCAGGCAAAAAAAGAGATTAAAATGACTAAACTGGCTATAACTTTTTCTCATCTTGAGATTTTTTTTAAACATGGACTGAAATATTAATAGCTAATATTTCAGATACACATTTCAGTGGATAAACTTTTAGAAGTTGATGAGAAAAAAATGTTAAGAAACTTTTACGTGAACAAGAGAATTGAGATTACTAAAATGGGAGTGCAAAAGACAAATCAAGAAAAGGACCTGGACGTGGAACAGATGCGGCAAGAAATCCTGGAAGATGCCCCTTTATGGGATTTACAAAGTAGCCTGGTAAAAACTTTGAAGATTTCTTTTAAATGCCAACAAGTGATGAAAGACCAAATCCTGTGATGCCATAAGAATGATTTAAAGGTTAAGAATGTGCAAAGCAAAAAAGGAATATAAAGTTGGACTATTATTTGATAAGGGATAAAATATTCGTTTGATATTTCTGGTAACTCCAAAAGGACTTTTTGCTGAACTAAGATTGAAAAGATGATTTCTGAACTGCATATAGATAAAAGTTAGGTTATGGGAAAAAGAGTTTTTTTTTAAAAAAAAATTATAACTTTGAAAGAGGGGGGGAAAGTTGATATAACAGTTTATGCATTTTTATGGTCTTTTTCTTTTCTTTTCTACTTCTGTTTCTTTTCTTTTTCCTGTATCTTCTGAACTTTCCTTTTTTTCTAGCTTAGTTTGCATTAGTTGTTGCTATGGTTATTGAAAGCTTCAATGTAATTAACAAAAATGTAATTTCAAAGTTAATGAATTTATAATAAAAGAATTAGAGAAATACTTCATTCTAAAGCCTCTTAATCTGGGACAGAAAGATATTTTGAGATAAAAAGACTGCATTTATATCCCAATTAAGAACCCCTCTGAGTTGAAAGCAGGCCTTGATCCCCTAGGAGAAACTACTTTTTCAGAATGTCTGGCTATTCTGAAAAATCACCTAGAAATAATTGAGGATAAAGCCACCACAGAACTGGGGGAGGCTAACCCTAACATTTAGTTCATTCCTGCAACTGTTTCACTTAAAGCTAATTTTCTAATTCTAGTATTAACTGAGTTTTATGATAAATATGACATCATATCTCCTCTTAATCCAGGCAAACACAGCTAATAAGGAGCTGTGCTAAACAAATGCTTAATCTTTCTCCAACCATTAAACTGAATCAAGAAGTATTTACCAATTATTCTTGCTGGCATGTGTGTTCTGGTTTCTGTTAAATATTCTTGATCTTTCACTTGCTGTTCGTAGTCATTGGTAGGAATCATTGTGCACTGAGCTTGCAATCACAGTGGGTTTTTATAGGTGGAATTGAGGAACTTAAATATAATACGTAAGCTCCCCCTTTTTCATCACTGCTTCTTAGAAATGTCAAACAGAAATTTTCTTGGGATTGGGTTCTTACTGGGCGGATCCTGTCAAGGAGCCTGAAGCACAATCTTGAGATGTTGGTTGGGAAGAGTTTGGGTCTCTAAGTCATAAGGAAGTAGAGAATGATCTTGGACTACAAACCTGGTCACTTCTTTATTAGATCTATGCCGTCCTGGCTTTAGTAGGCCACTTGGGAGATGGCTTAGATTAAGTCCATGCTTAATGTTACCTTTCTTGAGGGAAGAGGTGATTCTACTGGCCTTAAAGGAGATATTAATATGACTCTCCTCAGGAGGGCATCACCTTCTGACTCTCCTCAGGAGGGCATCATTACAGTCCTGGACAATTTCAATCTAATTTTCAGCTTTCCCTTAGAGAATTTTATATTAATTTGAATGTATCTCTTGTGGACATATACTGTTATTTTATTTTTCTGATTTTAATGTTAATGTCACTCAGAGTATGGGGAGAGTTGAACAGCTTTCTAAATTTGATGAATAAATATATAAATCCACATCATAAAATGTGTAAAGCCTTTGATTCAGTGGTACACAACAAACTACTCCTAAAAATAAAATCCTATGGTATCTCTGGACAACTGAATAACTGGATAGAAGCATTCCTG